CACTGGACCCCAGGGAATCCCCTCAGCTCTCCCATAGGTAAGGAGGCTGGGGGATTAAATAAAAAAAAAAAAGTTTGTGTGTGTTAGTGAGTGTGTGTTAGTGAGTGTGTTACGGTGTCAGTGAGTGTGTTACGGTGTCAGTGAGTGTGTTAGTTTGTGTGCGTCTGTTAGTGAGTGAGTGTTTTTTAAGTGAGTGTGTGTATGTGTCTGTCAGTAAATGTGTGTGTCTGTTAGCTGGTGTGTATGCGTCTGTTCGTGAGAGTGTGTGTGTGTGTGTGGCTTAAGCACTTATCTTTCTCCAGCGCCGGACTCCCTTGGCGCTGGGGATCTCTCCGCCCCGATCCGCCTCTCCGCTCCGAATACGCATGCGTGGCAAGTGCCATGCGCACTTTCAAACCGCCCATAGGAAAGCATTACTCATTGCTTTCCTATGGACGTTCAGCGTCTTCTCACTGTGATTTTCACAGTGAAAATCGCGGAAGCTCCTCTAGCAGCTGTCAATGAGACAGCCACTAGAGGCTGGATTAACCCTCAGTGAAACATAGCAGTTTCTCTGAAACATGTTTTCAGCTGCAGGGTTAAAACTAGAGGGACCTGGCACCCAGACCACTTAATTGAACTGATGTGATCTGGGTGTCTGTAGTGGTCCTTTAAGTGTATGTGTATCTGCATGCACTGGCGTACATACCGCAGTCACAGGGGTCGCAGCCCTGCAGCCAGGTGCCTGCCGCCATGTGTTGCGCCCCCAGCCTGCACAGAGTAAGCGCGCGGGGGGGGCCCCATGGATCAGTTTTCGCACCGGGGCCCCATGGGTTGTGTGTACGCCACTGCCTTAGAGACAGCATTTCTAACTGCACAGAGCTGGGCTGTTTAGCAAGTCGGCCTGGCATCTACTTGCTAAACTGTCTCTGTGCATATCGTTTAAACCAGGCTTATGGTGCTTGCAGGTTATTGCTATAGGCTAGTCTGTTGTGGCGGACAGAAACTGTAAAACACACTATGAAACATATGTGGTAGATATAAATACATTGTTTATTGACACTTAGTAATTATAGGCTCATTTTGTAAAGATCTACGTTTTGGTGGGTCACTGTTTAAGAGGCTGCAGAGTGGCATAAACAGCGTCCATTGTAGCACAGGTTTTGGGTATGAGCCTCTGTGAGTCCCGACGTGTGTGCTTTCTGTAAGCCTATGCCCAGCACAGGGAAGCATGGTAGGGTTACTTGGCAGTCCTGCTGGTGCATAGGTAGGGGTAGTGTTGCTGGTACCGGTGGCTGGCTCGTCCATCCTTTGCTGTGGGGGCCTGCTTTGATGCTGCAGGTGAGTGGGGTCTCTTTCAGATTGGGTATGTGCTTGCTGAGGGCTGATGGTGTTTCTTGGGTTGCGGAACGGTGGGGACATCACAGTCGTCCTGTCGGCCTCGGGCCGTGTTGAGGGTCAGTACCTTTGAGCCATGTGTCTGAGGGATTGGAGAGTTCAAGTCCTGCCCACCACGTTGGCGGAGGAGGGTCCTGGCGCTTGATCGCCGCTTGCGGCGGAGTGTTCTTCATCCACGCGGTGGGTGCAACGGGGTAGGTACCCCGGAGACCCTCGGTTTAGACAAGTTGGGCTTGGTTTTGACAGCTTGTCAGGTGTGTTCCATGCCTACGTGGAGGCCATCCTTTCCCAAACCTGTGCTTTCCTGGATTCTTCTTTTAGTTTGTCGCTGTGGGAGTGTCGCCCGCCTTTCTATCTTGGCCCAGAATCAGGCAAACAGCTTGTCTAGTGGGTGGAGTGTTTGCTCCATGGAGTGCGTTGGAGTGTGTGAGATGTGTGCGGCCGCCATCTAGGGGCGCACCGGGGGTCTGTGGCTGCTGGTGAAAAGTACCTGACGGGTGCTCCATGTGACAGGTGTCAACTGCCTGGTTGTGTCGTGCATGCCAGGTAGGACCGTGATAACCCCGCCGGTCCATAGGGGGGGGACAACGTTTGTCAATTTTTACCGCCAGTTAAAGCCATAGGAGAGCGGCTGCCTTTCCTCGGCTCGAAAACTGGTAGGCCACAAAGCCTCAAGTTGGATTTGCCAGTGGGAGAGGGTCCTGCGAGAGGTATCCCTGGAACCACCGGCATGTCAGGAACAAGTTTGGCTTTTCTTTGCTTCCCAGTCTGTATTTGGCTTGGTGTATTTGTCTAGTTTAGTGTGCCAGCCGCAGGAGCTCATGCAGCACATGTCTGTACCGCTCTGCAGCCAGGCTCAGCCCCCCCTGCATGTGGGAGGATTTAACCTCCCTTTTAGTATGGGGGTTATAGTGACCCCTATTGCTGTCCAGTCACGAGTGCAATAAGGGGGGACCTGGCACAGGGAACACAAATAACTAAAATGAGGGGGACATAGTGCCCCCCGCGCAGAAAAAAATAAAAAATCCAGACGGTAAAAAAATAATCCATCTTCACCCATGGTGGGCATGGCACAGAATTAGCTCTGCAGGGTGGTAAAAGGCTTATAAAGCCTTCCCATGCAGTGCGATTAGGCTCAGAGCAACCAATAACAGTGTTAAGAGTCAAATTACACAGCATGGGAAAATTCCAAAGAACTTTCCCATGCTGTATAAAATCACAGAGCCTACAAGCCATTTTTAAGCCTTTCCCCACTCTGCTGAGTTCATTCACTGTGCTCTCCATGGGTGAAGATGGATTATTTTTTTACCGTCTGGATTAATTCCCCTGCAGCACGGAGTATATAAAACAAACTAAATGAAATCATATTCGTACAAAAACGAATGCACATGCCTAGTTACTAATTACCTAATCGCAGCTAAATCCAAATGCCAATACTACATACTAATTCTTCTTGACCTCTCTGCTGTCTTTGACTCTGTTTATCATGCTCTCCTTCTTCAAACTCTTCAATCACTCGGTCTCTGTGACTCTGTCCTCTTGTGGTTTTCCTCCTATCTCTCCCAACGCTTATTCAAAATAATGATACCTTCTCCTTTCGTTCTGTCTTGGATGGAGTCCCCCAAGGCTCTGTCCTTGATCCCCTTATATTTCCTCTTTAAACTGCCTCTCTTGGCAAACTTATCACCTCATTTGGATTCCACTACCACCTGTACACTGGTGACACCCAGATATATCCCTCCTCCCCAGACCTCTCCCCTGCCATCCTGCAATGTGTCACTGCTTGCCTTTCTTCCATCTCTGACTGGATGTCCTCCCACTTTCTGAAACTCAATCTCTCTAAAACAGAGTTCTTTGTCTTTCCTCCTCCTAATACTGATCCTCCTATTTTCCTCTCCCTTCAAGTTAGTGGTATCGACATCAGTCCATCCTTGCAAGTGCGCTGTCTTGGCATTATACTTGATTCTGGCCTCACCTTTGAGACTCATATCCAGTATGTTACCAAATCCTGTAGAATCCATCCTTTAAAACATAGCCCGCAATTGCCCCTTTCTTATGCAAGATGCTCCTAAGGAGCTTGTCCATTCTCCAATAATTTCTTGCATGGATTATTGTAACCCTCTCCTAATTGGTCTTCCCAAAAGCTGTATTGCCCCACTACAGTGTATAATGAATGCTGCCGCCAGACTGATTTTCCTCTCCAGTTGGTCTTCTCACACCTCACCCCTCTGTCAATACTTACATTGGCTTAGAAACATAGGTGACGACAGATAAGAACCATTCGGCCCATCTAGACTGCCCAGTTTTTAAAAATACTTTCAGTATTCCTGTATCCTATAGGGGTAAATTCAAAGTACTAGTCCATACCTATAAAGCATTAAACAATTCTAGCCCCTCCTCACAGATCCATAGGTATGCCCCGTCTCAGTCTCTTCGCTCTGCTCATGACCTTCCTTTGTCCGCTGCTCGCACCCTCTTTAGGAAAGCTTATGGCCTCTCAGAGTAACCTCTACCACACATACCTGTTACTTGCTCTCCTAAAGGACAGCACTCTACTCTCTCCTCCCAGCTCTGCTTCACTCTCACCTTATTTGACTGCTATCTACTGTCCTATTGTGTTTTATACCCCACCTTCTATAGACTGTAAGCCTGTGTGAGCAGGGTCCTCTTCTACCTATCGTAAGTTTTTTTGTAATTGTCCTATTTACAGTTAAATCCCTTCCCCTTCTAATATTGTAAAGCACTATGGAATCTGATGGTGCTATATAAAAGGTAATAATAATAATCATGTAGTGAATATTGCGCCAAGAATCTTGCTTTAATTTGTTAGTGAATCCTTCTGATAATGAACTTGTCTGTATATTCTTTCAGCTAACCTGAATGTGCTTTAAATTGCAAGATTGGAATAAGGATGACTCCGTTTTGGTAACAGAGACAGGGAATTTATTATTTATTATTGATGGATACTGCAAGATAGTTAATGCTACGATGCAGGTTTGTGTTATGCAGCATAAGGCTAGAGACCTGCAGTGGCATTTCATCTGATGAAGTCATTTTGATATTCCTTGTAAAATATTTCTGAGTAGTACATCCAATCCTCGCATTAATTGTCAACTCTTTGAATAGAAAATAATTTGTGTATCTTGCCTGCAGTGATGTTTTCTGCAATACATTCTTTCACTAGGGACTGCAGAGTGATATAAACCTGTATGCTGCTTTATTAAAAAGTGAACATATTACATTGCTACTGAACTGAAAATAATAAGAGTGATCAGGTGGTAAATAATGTTTTCCCTTATTGCAATCCCTATCCTCCCACGCACAGATCTCTCCAAAGAATTATTTGTGGTAATATTTTAGAGGAAATGCCAGTATCCTATGCTGATTGAACATTAATTCTAAATTCGGAATGTATATAAAGCAAAAATCATATACTTTTTACTATTCATGAAATCTCCCTGCAGAATCACTATGCTTGGTGCGTACTAAAAATGGAAATTTTACTATTTTATTTTTGCCTTTTATGGCACTTTCCTATACAATAAAGCTATGCAAGTTTGAACAATAAATGTTATGACATAATTTGCATTCATGAGTATAAATTGAATGTTAAATATGTATAAACTGGATAACTACTTATGCAACAGGAATAATTTTTCAAGGAACTCTCCTGAGATTAGTAAAGCACTAGTTAGTTATATGCACCCGTTCGGTAGTTTTTTGGGAGTATTCGCAGGGTTGTTCCCTTCCGGTTTTCTTCTCCCACCTCCTTGGCCTCTGCCTCTTCCTGCCTTGTGTCTCTACTGGTGGTCTGTGCCCTGGTGAGCTCTCTCTTGTTCCCTTCCCTGGTTTTAGTTTGGTTGATTAACTCTTGCTACTCTAATTTACTACGGCCATTTAGGTGTTAGTGCCTAAATATGTTACCTTTTGTATTATTACCTGGTGTGGGTCTTATTACTATGCCTAAGCCTAGGGTGCCTGCACGTCCTCCTACCCCTGTGGAGTAGGTTACTCCACTGATCTAGGTGGAGACCCCTGTCACCTCTGGTTCCCCACCCCTGTTAGTGGACCTTTCCAGCCACACCAAGGGGGCACAGGCTTCAGTGCTACAGCGTATTATGGCTGCCATGGGCTCAATATCTTCTGCCTTGTCTCAGACGATTTCTCAGGCCATTCGTGTGTGTCCTCCAAACACACATTTCTCAAGCTCCACAATGCACCAACCCGTCCTGTTGTTGACCCTTCAGGGAAAGCACCCAGAAAGGCTAGGTATAGGTTTAAACATACCTCTCCCTCTGCATCCAGAACTCTTATGACTGACGTACCTTCGGTCGCCACAGAAAGCATGTCTCAACCACTCAGAAGATCCTTTCCATGCCAGGCAGAACAGGCGAGGTGATGGAAACATGCAAAACCACACCAAGAGAGCGATTCCAACTCAGAAAATGGGTCTATTAAGGAGGCTGGTGTAGAGACTGACTTTGACTCTGAGAGGGATTTGGCTGAGATGGGCCTTGACCTTTTTATCTACGCTCAGACGGAGATGACCAGAGGAGATCTCAGGGCTGCTTCTCCTTTGGATGTGGGGACTGCCCTCATGGATCCGTTGGGCAATCCCTTGTTCGACACAGATGAGCCTTACCATCTGAGGTTGGCCGAGTGGCTCCCAGCAGACCATGTGGAAACCTGGGTGTGGCGCCCACTCAGCAAGATGGCCTAAAACAAACTAAGGATAAAACTATGGTGCCAAACAAGGTGTGTGATACCACAAAAGTAGACCCTAAGATTACCTAGTTTTTAGCCAAATTTGGTTGGAACCCACATGAGGGTCTGGGCTCGGCACTTATATCATGCAGGATAAACGCCTGGATATATTTGGTCCACTGGCTAAAATGTTTGAATTGGCAAAAGACGCCAGGGTTGAAAACCAATGGTCGACCCAGAGGAACTCTGTGCTTGGGTCCAAAGGGCCATTTGCATTGCTGTAAATTGAGTGGCGTAAAGCCATCCTGTTTAAAATAGAAACTAGGAAATGAAAACTTTGAAGTGCTTTTTTGCACATAAGACTCTTGTGAGTGTAATGGATCCCCTATACTCCGACTGAGTATATCCGTTGAAGAGTCTCCCAGGTCCCGAAGTGAAGCACTGATTTTAACTCTGAGCTACCCAAACATCAGCCAAGACTTTATGAAGGGTACAAATTATTAGGGTCAAGCAAACTGTCTATATGCACAGCCCCGAGTAGGGGGTCTCCATTCAATAAGCACCTCCCAGAGATATCTGTGCCTGAGAGATAATTGCGTTAAAGATCGGTAAGTTCATTAGCTCACAGGAACAGAGAGGCAAACACAAAACCATAAACCCCAAAACATCATAAAAATATACAATAACCCCACAAATAATACATCCCCAAATAGCCCTGATCTGAGCGCCCAAGTTCTCCAAATAGTGTTTAGATTCATGCAGTGTAGGGGAAAGTCACCAGCCGGACACATGGTCCTATGCCCAAAATAGTTCCAAGGCGTTTGGTGCATTTGCCGGTCAACTTTCAAGAGCTCCTGCAGCCGCAATACGAGGTGCTCCGCTGGCTCTTAGGTAGTGTTTGTGCCCCTTAGTATCTGGCACCTTCCCTCCAAAAAGCACTCTCCTGGTGGGTTGCAAAGTTGTTCAAAACCCCGAACCAAGTTGTACAGGAAACACACGGTCACCTCATGCTGAAAACAGTTCCATAACACTTGCGGCTCAGTACCGCTGAGGAAAATTTTGGGGTTTCTTCATGCAAACGCTGGCCATGGAGCTAGCGCTCAGTTCCATTTGAATTAAGGGTGTAGCGAAGCTCCCTGTACCCCTACTGGGTACCTCCACCCAGGTTTACTTTCTAGCTCCAATCGGGGAAAATTGATGCTCTTAGAAATAGGAACAATTTAGGAACCTTTGTAAAGTGTCCTTCTGCTCCCAGTGACACAGGGGCACCCAGGGAAAGCTGCTAATAGCAGCTGAGGAGGTTAACTCCTGAACGGTGTCTCCGACCTGGAACATAGTCGGTGGGCAGGAGCCCAGCTTCCACACTCCTCCAGAGGTTCGTGGAAAAAGTCCATTGTAAAGAGCATTTGTCACATTGAGTTATTCTTGTTCTGTTCAAAATAGTGTAAATTGGCCCATCTTTCCCTCACTGAGGCTGGTATGTATGCCCAGTACTTGATCTTTGGTGATTCCTTTATAAACCACTTAAAGGACCACTATAGTGCCAGGAAAACATACTTGTTTTCCTGGCACTATAGTGCCCTGAGGGTGCCCCCACCCTCAGGGACCCCCTCCCGCCCGGCTCTGGAAGGGGGAAAGGGGTAAAAACTTACCTTTCTCCATCCCTGGGCGGGGAGCTCTCCTCCTCCGATCGTCCTCCTCTCCTCCCCGTCGGCTGAATGCGCACGCGCGGCAAGAGCTGCGCGCGCATTCAGCCGGTCACATAGGAAAGCATTATCAATGCTTTCCTATGGACGCTTGCATGCTCTCACTGTGATTATTTTTACAGTGAGAATCACGCAATCGCCTCTAGCGGCTGTCAATGAGACAGCCACTAGAGGAAATAGGGGAAGGCTTAACCCATTCATAAACATAGAAGTTTCTCTGAAACTGCTATGTTTATGAAAAAACACTCTGGTCTGAGTGCCTAGAGTGGTCCTTTAAGGCACTTTGGGTGTTTACTGTCCAAGATAAAGCCCAGTCCTCTATGAGGAGGGTATACCACGGGCAGGTCTCAACCAGGGCTGGCAGATCCAGGGATCATATGACTTGCCACAGTTATTTCCAGTCCCGTGGCTTGGGATGCATCTCCTTTAATCACTGCCCTAACTACCATAAGGCAAGGACCAGGTCCTTTGTCTTCCCATCATGCAGATGACCATGGTGGTCAAGAAGTTTTCGTGGAAATTCCGGTGCAAGACGTCCATAAGGTGAGTTTACATACACCTCAGGTTTTTTAATCATGTTTGTCTAGGGGACACACTCTGTCATTGTTTTCCCAGCTTGTTCAGCAATCACCTCCGATCTGTTTTTACAATCGTGAACACAGGTTGATCGATGAGGAATTGTCTGCTCTCCTCGGCAAGGAGGTGATCGAACTGGCTTTGCCAAACCCCGATGGGGTCATCAGCAATATCTTCCTTGTGGAAAGAAAGGAGGCCAGATGCACCCTCATCATCAACGCCCACTTAATTCCTTGGTGCGCGACCGCCATTTCAAGATGGAAGGCATTCACTTTCTGAGGGCCTGCTCCTACTCAGGTATTGGTTGGCATAACTGGATTTGAAGGACATGTATCTGATGGTTCCGGTGACCGAATCCTCTCGGGATCTCCTTCGCTTCCCATGGAAGTACAGAACATGCGCTTTAAATGTCTTCCATTTGGTCTCTCCTTGGCGCCTTGGTGCTTCACAAAGCTGCTATGGTCAGTGATGGCCTGGCTGCGCAGTTTGGGCATCCTCCTTATCATCTACCTGGGTGACATACTGCTCATGGCACAGGATCACTCCGTCCTCATGCGACTAGAAGAACACACACCTATGCAAGGGCACGTCTTATGCGGACCTAATTACCTTGGATGGCAAAACAAGGGACACATTGAACTGTTGAATCCACAACCCATCTGTGTGGAACAGCAGGGCAATCTTTGGGTCCCAACCGGAGTTAA